AATGATCATGAAGAATTGTAGTATGATATTTATTGCTGAGGAGGAGAATAGGTTCTTGGTGCTCGCAGCCGATTCGGTAGAAAATGCCGACGGGACTAAAGAGGGACCTCTGTCTAGCGGCTGTGGCCACAGTGGTATCGCACAAACCTATTCACGTTGTATCTTTTTTCCAAACAATGGCTATGGTTTGGCGACCAATCATGGGAGATTCAATTGATGAGATTGGGGATTCCATGTTCCTTCTACAGTTCTATCATGAAGGAGATCTAAACAGAGTTGTTGATGAAGGGTCTTGGTCGTTTGAGCAAAATCTTGTGGTCATCAAACGTGTGGGGCGTACTGACAAACCTCTTGAGGCCCCACTGGATCATGCGGACTTTTGGGTCCAGGTTCACAACTTACCGTTAAGCTACATGACGACAAGGGCAGCTTGTGGAATAGCTAACAGCATTGGATTGCCGGTGCAAGTAGATGAGGACTCTCTTGATGGAAAACAAAGACTAGTCTTGCGCATAAGAGTCACTATTAATATTAATATGGTTTTGACTAGGCGCTTACAAGTCAGACATGAGGGGGATAGCTGGATCTGGGCAAACTTTCGTAATGAGAGACTCCCAAATTTTTGTTTCCTGTGTGGGATTATTGGTCATGATGATCAGTTCTATCCCTCTAATCCGCATAGTGGCGCATGGATCGGGGAGAAGCCTTATGTGTCATGGTTACGAACTGATACGAGGCGGGGTGGATCGCATCCGGGTAACAGGTGGCTCATTCCTAACAATAACAAGCTAGGAGACATGAGGGATGAGGGAGCAGATTCAAATAAAGTGATAAGTGAACAGGAGAGCTATAGGTGGAAGGATTCCACTCAAAAGGAAAGGAGATTGCTACAACTCATGAAGCACCAAGAAAGCGCATGGCCACTGAGAAGGTTAGCGAGGAGGGGGCACATGCAAGTATGGACATGGATGAAGCTGCTCCAAAAAACTTGAAAGTGGTGGTGCTGTCCGGGCAGCACCGCCAGTAGTTGAAGAATTTGAGGATAAGCACGAGGAACCTTCAGTGCTGGCTGGTCAAACCGATGTTTCCTTGCCAGTGGCTGGTCAAACTAGTTTATGTTCTTCTTTTGATTTATCATTGTCTCAGAACTCTTCTATGTTTTTTGCATTTCCTTTTAATAGCAGGTGCAACATTGTTGTGAATGAAGTCTACCAAATTGGGGGGTTAGCGAGATGGACCTCTAGTAAGCGTGATTCTAGGCTTATTTCTAGCTCTATGTCTCATCCCATTGTAGCCTTGGTTATGGCAAACTTGTATCTGGTTCTCGGTTTAAATATTAATTAAGTTAACTTTTGCAAAAAAAAAACTACTTTTTATAGTTTTTCTTTGTTCTTTGTGGTGTTCTTGAGGCATGGAAGCCCATTTCTTCCAACCATTGATGCTTAGATAATATTTCCTTTATATCACATGTTCTTCTGTATTCAAAGTATTGTAATCTTGATTAATATGAGCGTTAGAGGCTAAGTCCTTGAGCCAAGGCTCCGGATGAACCTCTACGTCTGCTAGTTCTTGATATTTGTTCTAAGTCAATATATTGTGATTTATTCTTCATAAACTTAACTAGATATTCATGTTATGCAACATAAGAGTGCAATCTATGTATTTGATATGAATTGACACTAAAAGAGTAATTCACGTTTTACCCTTCTCAGAACTAAATCTATACATCTATGTTACATAACTTCTAGCGGTTATATGGTAAACTATTGTTGCAATATAGACCGTTCTCTAGAAGAATAAACATACAAAGTATTGAGAAATGAAATATAACCAATCTTGTATGGTACATGTGTGGTATCTTAATATTCAACGGAGTTTTCTCTAGATGAATGTGAGCCATAATGGGACTCACACGTAGCAAAAATCACGCTCTCACTGTCTTAATCAGAGTCGGGAATATAATAGTGATACCGTACTTATAAGAATTGACAAAGAACTTATATTGAATTCTAGTTACCGTTTGGGTGAATCCCGAAGTCTTGGTTATGTTATCATATATTCACTTAATCAACAAAAATACTTGCATTTTACTTTTATTCTCTATTTTGATTCTCAAAACTGAATTTTATAGAATGACGTTTCCAAGTGGATTCGACCCGGTATTTTATCGGAATTTATTACTACATAGGCACTTGTATACTGGCAAGTTAAGCCCGACCAATGACTGATGCGCGGAGGCGGCAATGTTGCAAATGCGTAGGTGATGGTCGATTCAGAAGAGACTGGTGAGTGGCGGCAATGTGAACCTGACTTGCTTGTCGGTGGTACCAGTGGTTGATTCGGATGAGACTAGTGGGAGTCGGCGATGCACACCCGATTAGCTAGTGGAGGCGATGTGCCGGAGGCGGGGTGGGAGCTCAAACCCATGCAAATTTGTCCAATGGGAAATAAGAGAAAGTCCTTCGTTGATTTCCATTGTATTTGATTTTATAATCAAGGGCATTCGAGGCTCATTATAACAGGTCTCTTTTTGTTCAAATAAAAAGTAGTCACATTTTTGTCCAACCAACCGCTGAAAGTATTATATTTGTCATTCATCCATTAATAATATATTATATCAACTACTTTTTTATTTTAAGATAACTTTATAGAATTTTACAAATATATAATTACTATTACATTATTTCTAATCAATGTGCTTTTATTGAAATATAATGTTTAACTTAGGAGAAATTGTTTTTACACACAAATATAAGAGCACATTCGGTAGATCGGTAACCTATATTTTCATCGTATCAGCTTTATCAACAATTTTTTTTATCAAACACGTAACTTTTGACTTCACGTCTTGAATTGTTTAATAATCAAAATAAGTAAGGTTGAATTTACTTTTGTTTTTGGATTGACTGAAGTTACAGTTGAAGACCATTTTAACAATTGTCATATCATTTTTAATTTAATTTTTTCTTAAATCATTTGAGCCAACCCAGCCAGCATTTCATCAATTCTAGCATATTCAGACAATTTCAGTGCTACCAAACAGGTCTTAAATTTATTTGCGTGTGGAATATGTTGTTTTTCTAGTAATATGACAACAATACTCGAATTTTGGTATATCGCACTTATTAAATGGCCGGCTATTAATCGATTTGTTCACAATACCCAGATGGACTTCCGCACACACTAACTTGTCTCGTATAAACACAGAGGAGGGCGTGCAAGTAATAAAGGGCAAAATTGTAAATCACACAAACCCACGTCTGTTATTGGGCGGCGGCTTCTGGACTTCTGGTTTGCACTTCCCAAAAAAATAGCCATAACAAGGAAAGATCCGGAGAAGTCATTAACCTTGCAAAAATAACCACACTCGAATATGGAAAGAAGCATCTGAGTTTTGCATATAATAAATGGAGTCGACGGCGTGAATTGAAAGTAAGATGAAGTTATTTTATGGAAATTTAACGCAATACTTCGTAGATATTACTGGTAACCATATACTACGGCAATGGGATGCATTTGTTTTTTTATTATACGGAGTAAGTTAATTATAATAATTTTTTCAATTAACTTTCAATATGTGATGCAAAAAACCTTCTCATCTATGCATTAGGAACCGATTCCCATGAATTTGAAATTAAGTTGCAGACCAGTTCATGTTAAAGTGCATGAGAATTGAGTTTTTGTGATAAGCTAAACACTATGTTTCATTACTGATTACGAGTGTGAAAGAGGTATGGTACACGTGTGTAATATTAGAATCGAATTGTGCACTAGTGAAGATTAATATGGTTTGTGGTAATATCAAGCTTGGTGCATTACTATGATGTTCAAGTGCATGGAATGAAATTACGGTGCAGAATAGTGCAAGTTAAAGTGCATGAGAATTTAGTTGGTGTGATAATACTAAGCACTCTATTTCTTTACTGATTAGAAGTGTGAAAGAGGTATGGTACATGTGTGCAATATTAGAACTGAATTGTGCACTAATGGAGATGAATATCAGAATATGGTTTTTGTAGTTTGATGAGATGAAATGTGATATACTTATGATAATTTGTGCTTTATTACTGGTGCATCGTGTAGTTTGTGTGATTCAGCAAACAACAAATGCAAAGGGTGGCGTGAGTGTACTTGTGCAGCACATAGCAAAACAAAAGGAGACAAGTGGTGAAGATAACCCGAGATGATGTGTAGACGTGAGAAAGGACATAGTACTGTTCAAAGACAATTTGATAATGTGAAGAAGAGATTTTTGCATAGGATCGGACCGGAGAAGATGATGGTTGAAGGAAAAGTTTTACAAAAAGAAATATTTTTTTACACGTTAAGCGCATATATTTATAACTTTTAATGTTTCAATGTTTTGTTTGTAAAGCTACGTGAAAATTAAGATTCAACAATTAATATAATTGGTAGTTTTTTATTCTTTCCTTACTAAACGTGCGGAACACATAAATGCTTGACCGGTCACCTTAATTGCCTTGAGAGAAGAAGATGTAAATGCCCTGTGCCAGCATTAATTTGATCGTAGATCATCACATATTTTGGAAGGTTGAGATTTGTTCTCATTTCTCAGAATAAGGGATGTTCTCATTAGAACCTCTCCCTATATATATATATATATATATATATATATATATATAGAGAGAGAGAGAGAGAGTCTCGTTCTTGTCCAGCCGGCCTGACGGGAACCGCCGTCCAGCCGAGGGCATTTGTATATCAAGCTGTGAGTCCCGGTCGGACCAGTTAACTTGCAAAAATCATTTGACGACCTTCTCGTTCCCGATTGAGTTTTTTGCTCAAATTTGGTATGGATGAACTAGACTTGATGAGGAACATACACAAAAAAATTGAGCAAAAAATACCACCGGGAACCACCTCAAACTGAGGTGGCCAGACCAGGGTCCTGTCCGGAAATTCCGGACAGGAAGAGCACTCTATATATATGTGTGTGTGTATATATATATCGTGATTTAAAAAAGGGTCATGTATATCATTGGGTAATAACACAAATATGGCAAAAGGTTTAGCAGTTAGCACTGAAAGAAGAAATTCAATTAACCGACAAGATTTATCTATTGTTACATGCTAATAGGAGACTAGCGAATTTTCTGGTAAAACTAACACAGCAAACTTAACCCTTCCTGATTGAGAAGACTAAAAATGTAGAATCAGTACATCACCAAAATTTCTAGTCTCAAGGGGACCCAGACGAGGACTGGTTCTGCTGGGAATCAGTAGGAACAAAGATCGGCAGCTGACCTCCTCCCCTCTGATGTCGATTTGTCCCATGGGCCACCCGCTCGCCCAACAAGGGCCCACCAAAAAATATGGATTGACCCGTGTATGTTAGCTCTGTCCCGGGATGTAGAGCAGTAGTACTGCCACCTCTAGTGGCGGGACCTACAAAACGTCCCGCCTCTTGATCCCAAAAGATTGACGACCCTGACGACTCAGAAATTGCTGCTGAGTTCTTCTTCTGCTGCGCTGGGTGGGCCCGGTTGGTACCATATTGATCGAGAGGAGATGGGGTGAGATTGGGCGGTAGGGGGCTGCTAAGATTACTTATACTGTGACCATATGATTCAATATCTTCCCTGCTTGCACGACTAGGTGGGTACGAGCTCTTACATGTCACGGCTCTAGGGTTGCTTTCATAAAATCCACCGCGACTGCTTGCAGGACTGCTCTTCCCGCTCATCCCACTAGATAATGTGTCAGCATCGTAAGGATAGTGATGCCTCGAGCCGATGGGACGTAGGACAGAAGACGAAGCTCTGGCCTTTGCACCGGCTTTTATGGCTTCACTCGTGTCTAACTTTGCTAGTTTCCACGCACTAATTTTCACCTGACGGTTTGAAACCTTTTTTCCCTTTTCGGATTGTACGGTGTCGGGATCGACAGTGGATGGCACTCGTCCTGGCTCAAGGTGAGGGATGATTTCATCCTGTACAGCAAGGGAGGAGCACCTTAGTAACATCACAAATGTGGGATCGGGAGACGTTCATAAAAAGACTTTGTGCTTGACCTAGGGGTGTGTAATTTGTTTTCAAACAAATTCAGGTTGTTGGCATTCATTTTTAGCATAAGAGGGTCCACGCACTAATGGCGGCATTAATCTTACTGATGTGACACATATTTGGCATTTTTGCAGACCTAGTCATTTTTACCATTTTAAATCCCCGGACACACCATGTGTATCTTAATGCGGTAAATGTGACCCTTAATGCATTACCGTTGTGTCTAAATTTGTTTTGAAAAATTAATCATTGAAAATTGGGAAAAGGGTCAGATAAGTACTCGAACTTACATAAAAAAGTCAAATAAGCCCTTATGTAGAAGGCTCTGTCTGACTGTCGCCATTTGGGGCAGTTCCCGGTGAAATTTTTTGATGAAATTTTTTGAGCATCTTATTCATTAAGTCTAGTTTACTCATACCAAATTTCAGCTAAAACTTCAATCGGGAAGGCATTCAAATGAATTCTTGAAGATAACTGCAAGAATTCATTTGAATGCCTTCCCGATTGAAGTTTTAGCTGAAATTTGGTATGAGTAAACTAGACTTAATGAATAAGATGCTCAAAAAATTTCATCAAAACAATCCATCGGGAACCGCTCCAAATGGCGACGGCCGGACAGAGTCTCCTGTATAAGGGCTTATTTGACCTTTTTATTTAAGTTCGAGGGTCTATTTGACCCTTTTCCCTTGAAAATTAATACTCTCTCTGTCTCTTAAAACTTTGTCAACTTTTCTTTTTTAGTTGTCTAACTAACTTTGTCATTTTCCCTTTTAAGAAAAGAATTTGTGGTTCCAATTAATTATTTCTCTTTTGCGCAAACCTCAACCACACAGTTTCTATTTTATTAATCCCCGTTCCAATCAAATGTGGTCAAGTTTTAAGGGATGGAGGTAATATATTTTTTAAATTTAATTAATGAAAAATAATTTTTAACAAAATATTGAAATTTTAATTTGAGGAAGTAGGTTTTTTTCCTTTTAAGTCTTGTGCCACAAAAGCAAGACTTAACACCATCAGTTTGTATTAGTTTTTAAGTTTTGTCAAAAATTAATTTTCATTATTAAATTTGCATCTACTTTATCATATTACCTTCTTTATCTTTCTTATGTTTTTCTTTCCTTTTATCATTTTTATTTATATATATTCTTTTCATTATCCTCTTTATCTGATCATTTTTATCTCTATCTTATATTTATCTTTTTCGTATCTTTTTTTTATCATACCTTATTACCATATCTCTTTATCGTTTTCTAATTATAATACCTTATCTTTTTAACTTTATTTTCCTTTTGGCTCCAATATCATGGATTCGTGTTAGCCCAAAAATCTTTTGGGACGAGATTTGAATGTTGTCGTTGTAATTTCATAAAATATGAATTTTCATTAATTGATTTTTCAAAAAAAAAGATAAACAATGATGGTTTATTAGTTGTAATCTTTACCACATAAGTTGGCACAAAGTGCATTGGTGCCACATCAGATTGAAAATGAAAAAAAGGTCAAATCAACAAAAAATACTATGTTATCCACCATATCAGCAACAATTGACGTCGTTTGAGCATCTTCAATGCAAAAATGTTAGCGATGCATGCATGATATGAGATAGAGACACACAAAATTAAAAAATGAAATTTCTCTTTCTTATCTACCCAGTACCCACGGGCCACGGTGTATTGCATTTTTAGCTATATTTTATTCAAAATGGCAAACACAATGTCAAGATCGACATTGTGAATAAAGAGTAACTAAAAACCATCACACTGTGAAAAGAAAGAAATTTCATAAACAAATATTTTTGTGTCCATCTCTCATTCCACATATGCATTATTAACGCATTTGCATTGGAGATGCTCTTCGTGCCTAGACCTGTCCTAAGCTAACAGAGCAATACCATAGACTCCCATGTCTAAATGCGCCCCATCGCGGGTACATTTATGAACTTTTCCCATTATAAAATGAAAATATTTTATGAATAAGTTGAAAGAACACATTGTCATCAAAAGGCAAATGAATGAAGTAGTAGATGTCAAAAAGAACGTGCAGTCATTTGGTTACTGAATTGGAAAAGGGCAGGTTAAGTGAATGAAGTCAAGAACAGGCTTACACTTTATCTAGCCATTAGATTTGGCACCTTTTGCTATTATGAACATTGCCGTAGTACCTTTTATCATGCAATTTAGCCATTTATTTTTCTTTTTTTGCAATTTAGCCATTTAACTTTTTCCATCATTTGCAATGGAGTCGAAGATTCACTAATGATGGAGTAAAGTAAAATGGCTCACTAAACTGTCTACGCTTCTTTGTTATGAAGCCGCTGTAGTCCATGCAATTTTCGACGCGATTTTCACCATGGATCATCTGGAAACAATCTCTCTGCTTTAGTACAGAGTAAGGTTGCGTACATCCGACCCCCCTTACCACACCGTAAGTGGGAGCCTTTGCGGCACTAGGGTGGTGATGATGAATGAATGAATTTAGCCATTTAACTTCCACTTTTTTCACTTCGGCGGAGATAAAGTGATGAACGAGCCATTATAGAAAAAAGGGAAAAATTATTTAAATATCCCAAACTTTGAAAGAGTGTGGGATAAGCACCTCAAACTTGCACATGTAATATATATACCTCAAACTTTATATAAAAAATTATGTTAGAATCATGATCATATGTTTTTCACAAATGTAATTTTATGGTGTTAAAGTACATAATATAAACTACAAAAACATTATGAGGATGCAATAAAAAATAAATTGTAGCAGATGTAATATTATTTATTTCAAAAATAAAATTTCAGAATGTTAATTGCATCCTAACAAAGCTTAGAGTATTTTAAATTATGTAATTATTCCAAGAAATTCATCTACGCGTGAAAATAAATGGTGATGTGTAAAAGAAATTAACATGTAAAGGTTAGTTCTACATTTATGACACGTCAGAATTTTCAAAGGGGGATTAGTGTATATCATGGCTTTAAATTGCAGACCGCAACACGTGTTGCAACAGCAGTATTACGATTGTGGTCCACAAAGCAACCGCATCACATCGCAATAACGGTGTTTTTGAATCCATGCCACAACGTAACAGTTACGCAACCGCAATGTAACCGCATTCAGGCCACATTAGCACCAGTAACTTAACACTTTTTTTAATTTTTTATTTCGTGGGAAAGTAAAATTAAATCACACCACATCTGCCGCAATACGCATTGCAGTGGCCGTAATAGCCGCAACCACTGTGACTGTAACCACAAATCAAAACCATGGTGTATATTATGCATACACACCTAGTGCCTACTTAACTTCCCCTATATATAGCCTTGTTTGTAAGTATGGCACCATCAAAAGTACAAAGTCAGATTGAAGAATGGTGTCAATTCCAATACCAAATAAAAAGTAAGGCTAGAACTAAAATTCCTAAATTGCTAGACTTATTATAAGTTTATATCCGGAAACAATCTCTTTGTGCTTTAGTACAGAAGTAAGGCCGCGTACATCTGACCCCCCTTACCCCACCTTAGGTGGGAGCCTTTGCGGCACTGGGGTAATGATGATGCAACACGGGGTTTTTATGCATGCATTTTTTACTCATAAATTGCAAGATTTGTATACACCAGGGGGGTGACATGCTAGACCCGTGAAGATAAGGTGTCAAATTCAATGAGGTGACTTTCATCACTCTATATCACTAAGGCAGTGTTTGGGTTGTAATGGAATGTACTGTAATGTAATAAACACATGTAACATTAGTCTACTGCAAAGAGTATACTTCGTATTTGATAACATTACATTCCGTACAGTTATAAAACGTTATCTGACACAAAGAAATAGGAAAAGGAAATACCTGATGATCCATGAATATCCGTGGAGGAGTACACCAAGCCCCTTTATGGGGTAAGCCCCGCCCAACAGAACTTCTACCGCTGATTGCGGTCACTGCAGAACTTGTTGGTGATGAAGGCATACTTTGCTGATCACCTCCATCCACTGATGGGCCGGGAGGTTCGCTTTGGGCCCGCATAGCAACAACATACTCATATGTCGTGATGCCCTGCGACAAATTTATAATAAAAAACAAGTTCGGTCTCATTTGATATTTATTGATCTCTCTCTTGGCAGCGCGTATAAGTTTTTCGCCTGACCCACACGACAAAGGGTGTGTTTGGATACCGGTGTGTTGGGCAAAACGCCACTCTTTTAAACGCTGGTATTTTCAGCTTTTTGGCCAACAAACGCCAAAAAACAAACGATCATAAAAGGGCCTGGAACTTGATAAGTGCTAGAAAAAAAACAGGGAGCCACAAAAGAGAGGAGAAGTTTGAAATTAAAGTTACTTTAGAAAAAATAAAATTCGTTCAGACTCAATATATAAGAGATCAAATTTGATTTTCATTTGATTTTTCTTAGGGAAAACCAAATATAAAAATAAAAACAAAAACTTTCCATGGCATTTTTCCATTTCCCTACGTTTTCCAGAATGCCATACTGAGCATACAAAGCAAAAGAGATACTGAAAGACTTGCCTTACGGATTAGAATGATGTGGAAAAAGAGCAATTCAGCTAACGGCACGATTGCAAGAAATGAAACTGCCGTACAGAATGCCTAAATATGCAAAAGGAGTGCAATAGTTGTTAAAATTCATAAGTTCCAAAATGACCATAAATAAGGTGCAGCTGCACAGTGGGATTTTTTTTTTTTACTCCAGGGGGTCTGGGGGAGGGGGGCTGGGGGGCCTGGAGTAATCAGGGGTAAAACTCACTCCATTGAGAATATCTAATGAACAAGTGAACAACTAATAATAAGCTAATGGAAATATGATAGAATGTGGAAATACATTTATATATACAAAAATGGATCTCTCTCAGCAGTCTCAGTTTGAAGGCTATGCTAGGCCAGTTGGCCACCATAAGCTAGCTTACATGTTAAAAGCTTTTATATACGTAGTATTAGCTTTTTCTAAAAGAAACTTTTCAATAAGCTTCTTGGAGTAGCTTTTCAAATAATCTAATCAACTTTCTCTTATCATGGTATTTTTAACATACTTTTTCCTTTAAAACATTTGAAATCCTATTATAAATATATCCATTTTTTTTGTTTTATATTTCTAAGTTAGCTTATCAGCTATAAGTGATAAGTCACTGATTATCAACTAGCTTACCACTACTGTAGCAAAGGGGGGTATGGAGAATCCATCGCCAAGTCTGTCCCTTATATGATTCTCGGTAGCCTTTTTATGAGTAAAGCATCTAACAAGAACAGCAATGCCCACCCCACATTCAAAGACAAGCTGTCACATAATGGAAATATTGATGCCGTGGTAATAAATAATAACAGTTGATGAAAAGAAAAATAAGCATTAATCCATTAAAAGCTTAGGCTTACCCAGATAAGGCTTGTTCCCATTAGAATTATAAATGAAGCATAATTCTTCCTTCCCACACAATTATTCAACCACTGCATGACTTGCAACATACAATTAATACACTATTTAACACAAAATATAGTCCATGTTGGTTTATAATACATGTTATTATGGTCTATCAAAGTACACCTTATAGTATTCAATAACTATAGGCCATCAATTTACAGTAAACGTTTCACTTATGGTATTACGCTGATAAGATGATGGTGGTGATAATTATTAGGGTAGGATTGGCCTTACAAAAGTGAGTTGCAGGGTAAAAAGGAAGAGAGATAAAGACCCAATTAGTTGGATAATATTTCTAAAGATAATTGCAGTATATATTTCTTAATTAATTTTCATGGAATGGTTACCACTTGTCAAATTTTCATTTGTTCCCTTTTGACAGGGGTGAACCTGATTAGCTGGGTATAATTTCCACATGTTTGTTTTCGGAAAGAAACATCTCAGTCAACCTCCTGAAATAGCTTTTATATAATTCAAAAATTAAAAACTGCGTAAAATAAAATTTCTTATCGGGACTTACACGGCAGTGATGATCAAATCCATCAACACATTTGTCACAACTTCTGCAGTGCTTGCTGAACTTGCGAACCTACGAAGGAACAAGTATAGATGATGTTATGGACCATCTTCAAAATGAAAATTGAGTACTTCTCAATAATTCATAACTAGAAAACTTAGAATAAAAAACCTATTATGCACTCAAGGGTATAGAAGAAAATACAAGGAAATGAACAACAACAAGAACAACATCCAAGCATTAGTCCCAGAAGATTTTGGGGTCGGCTAACATGAATCAATACAAGGAAATGAACCTTTTAACAAAATTCATTGACATTATATGGTGATCATGTATCTATTTGTTAACTACGTAGTAGTTTAGCAAAAAATATGTTCTCTTAGGAAAACGGTATCCTTGAAAAAAAAAGCTATTCTATGTATAACTATATAATATAATATAATATAATGCCTGAACCACAAAATGTAAAAAACATTAAAATTGTTTCGAGATGATAACTTCCTATTTTCCAACTGGGAAGTAGTTTTCCACCAGAGTTTGTGTCTATTTGAACCTTACAAAATGATATAGAAAGAAAATAGTGAAAACATAAACAACAACAACATCAACATTATCCCACAAACTTTAGAATATAGAAAGAATAAAGTGAGAATGATTTAGAACCACACAAACTTTATCAAATTTGAAATGAGACAATCATAGTGGGACAGACCGAAAAGGAAAGATGGGACAATCTTAGCGGGACGGAGAGAGTACATGGATAAAGATTAAAAGTTGAAGTCCAGCCAATCAAAGTCAGAATAAAGCAAAAAACGGTAATGGCATTAAAAAATGAGAATGAGAAAGAGAAGATGGAGGCGGACCGGTAGCGTCGACCAGCAGCGGTGACAAGAGGTGGCGACGGTGACCTAGCTGACGGGTAGAAGGGCCTAGGGCTCTGGTCGACGGGTTGAAGGGCCTAGGGTTCTAGCCGACGGCTTGAAGGGCATAGGGTTCTAGCCGACGGGTCGGGTCGATGAAAATTGGATGTGGGTTTCGCCATGACGACTTCCAAATGCCTGATCGGCGAGTCGGTTGAGCACGGCGTCACTCCTCCACAGCCAGGACGAGTAGTTGGCGCCTAGGCGACACCGTAAAAATTATGGGCGAGAGGTGGGGAAAAGAGACGGGGAGAAGAGGGAGAGGAAGACCCAAACATACGTCAATTAGAGGAGTTAGGAGTGATAGGCTTCTTCTTGAGTTTAATGAGAGTATGACTTGAGAGAGAGAAAATTGGAGAGAGAATATTCCCAGGGAGGATTGATCTCTTTTCATCATTTTTATCCTTTTATCTTTTCATCTTAATTATCTTTCATGTTCTTTATCCTTTTTATCTTATTTTTTATTCATTTTATCTTACCATTTTTATCTTTATCTTATCTTTTTTATATTATCTTACCTTTTAACCTTTCTTATCTTTCTTTTTAGCAACGACTTCATGTGCCGATTCATGCTAACTGATCCCAAACTCTTTTGAGACTAAGGCTTGGATGTTGTAGCTGTTGTTTTATGTTGACTAAGAAATCTAAATATCTACTTCCTCCATTCTCTTTTAATGGCAACTGTCCACTTTCCACATGTGCCAACGCACAAGTTTGACCATTAATATCTTTCAATTCTTATTTTTTTTATTAAAAAAATCAGATTTTGATAATTTAAAACGAGAGGAATTTAACAATATTTAAAAAAAAAAATAGTTTATAATACATTAATAAATAAAATGTAATCATAGATTCATAGTGGGTATGTGAATGATGCAAAATATTCTTCAAACTTTTCTTGTTGGTCATCCCAATAAGTTCTCATTCTCATGTAAAGAAAGATTTCTGCGATTCAAATTCTTCTTTACTTTCTAAGTAAATTTCAACCATATGACTTCAATACTAGTAAAACAGTGTGAAAAAAAATGGAAGAACAAATGGACGAGGAATTGTAAAATTTTAAAAAGCTAATCCGAATTCTTTTTTATTTTCTTGCATAATTTCCAAGTTAAAAAATAAGATATCAAAAAATATCTTTTGTACTTTTTTCTGTTCCTACCATTTCCTGAGTTACAAACGTGGTCTAAAGAATGAAGTAGATATTTTCCTTCTGGTGCTTTTTTATTGGTGCCAAACACAGGATGTCTTTCCAAGAAAATGTTTTCTTGAACCAAACAAAGAGGATATCCCAAAAACATTTTGCATCAATATATTATTCATGTAAACAATCAAGACCTTAACTACTCGCCATTTTCTCTACCCTTCTATTACCCCTAGCTGCGTCCACCAAGAACACTTGAAAACTACTATCACGCAAAATTGATTATCCTACACTTTTGAGTTTTTCCACATATTCCCAATATTAATAGAAAAACTACCATAAATACCTCAGCATTGCACAATGTGCAAAACAAAGCTTCGTCTTCGCCATTTTGCAGCTCCAAATGATCATTATCTTTGCGGCAATCTTCCTTGACAATACAACCACATAGTAGCCCACCAAGCTTTGCACAATAGCCTGAACCATTTCTAGTATACTTCCCTCCATTCCTCAATCCTTCCTTGCTTGGGTCATCATCCACACCCGATGAAACACCTAATCAGAAGCAAATAGATTTGTCATCAGAAGAAAAAGAAGAAAAATCGCCATAGCAAACTCACACAAAAGTAATTCTAAGTCATATTTGGTGCGCAACAACATTATAGTTCAGGTTCTATGTATGTACCAAGGATCCTACAACACAAAAAATATGGGTATGTCTGGAACGCAGAATTTCCAGAAAAATGGTAAGGAGGAAATATTAAAGGAAAAAAATTAGACCTGATCTGTTTACATAGGAAATGCAAAGCAACCATAAACTATGACTTTTGAAAATTACATATTTTGTCCTCTGTAAGCTGTTATTTTCACCTTATATCATCAAAACCTATATCATATCATCAAACCTGGAGAGATTTAAACCAAACCACAAACATTTAGATTAGACTAGACCAAATTGGATCAAGCGAGACAATGAAGATTCAGGCCACAAGAGAAAGACTAAAGCAGATCAGGTCTAAAAAATAGACAATATTACAATTATCCGGCAAACACAACAGGTCATTAGATTTCTTAGTCTTCATATAATAGAAGTAAACAAATAAATGAATTTGAACAAGTATCTAAAATAAATTTTATAAGTTCGAGCCACTACTCCCCCCATAATTTATTCCCTTCCAGTTTTCTTCTCTATTTTTCATCCTAATCTTTATATGTGGTACTTTCCTTCCTAAAAGATACTAAGGAGCCCTGCATAATCCCTGTCTATCGAAAACAGATGATATCTTCATCACAATTCATTTCTAGCGCAAAATCCACTGTGAAAATAAATGGTGATTGATGATGCCAAATAATCTAGCTCCGAAGGAAGCCAGGAACGAATCTTCATATAATTACTACTTATCCTAAAACTGTAATATTATGCTTCGTATTTTCATATGTTGCCATGCCCATAACCAAATAAAGTACATACTTTAGATGATATTTTATCCTTACACAGGAAATGCATGTATATATAATCAAAGAATGATAGTAATGCCAAAGCTACTAACCATTCAAGTCTATTATCTCATCATGTTCAATGAGAATCCCAGGATCAGCAGGATCAATGGCTGTACATCGCACATATAGTACTAGTACACAAAGTGCCTGATATATTTATGTAAAAGATGGTAAAGAAAACAAATTAGAAAAGTAATTAGAAATTAAGCCAGATTTTAAAAAAGAAAAAAAAAACAGAATAAGCAATCGTGATAATTTTACCAAGAAAGAATATACACCAATTGCAATGTACTCGTAAATGTCCTTTCCAATGAATGCCGCAAAGAATGCATAAAACGCAACAGATAGTAGAAAGTAAACTGTAATAGCAACAACCTGCCAACACAATAATGGTGAGGATCAACAAGTAAAACTATGAACAGAAGCATTTTTGCATATGAATGACTATAACACGGGGGGTTTGACACATTTTTTAAATCACATAGGGTCAACAAGCTGAATTTATATTTCACAAGGGGTTTGGTGCGTTTGGTGCATCTGTTATAATAATGAACAATGGAGAATTTAAACTGATGATAATGATGATGAAGATGATGATGAAGCAATAATAATGATTATAATTAGAGTGATAACTAGTATTGGTATAGTTACTAGTTAGAAAAACAATAGCATAATGTCAACATTTAGAGTTACCCAAAATCAGAGGCTAAAAATTTGTGAAGTGTTTACATTGAGAAATTTCGATATGAGCCTAACAGTAGATGAGAATTTTGAGTAGGCTAGACCTGTAAGGAGTGAGCCGGGAGTTGCCAACCATGGCGGCGCGCCATGTCGATAAAACCCCAAGTCAAACAGAGTCAGCCCACACCATATTACAGCAGAAAATGAATCAAGAACTCTGCAGAGTCAATGAGGCCAGAATACGCGGTGGACGAAAAGCTATTCTACACCCTACCGAGGTTTCTAACAGTCGATCTACGACAACCCAACAGTACTTGGGTTCCTAGAATTGGTCTATGGATCAGTGAATAGGGATAAAGGAGAAGAAGAAGATTACGATTCAGTTCGCTTTCCCTTTTCAGAAATTATATTCCACTGTTACTGCTCGGAAACGCTTTAAAAGGTAATGGAGGTTGGAGTGCAACGGCCGGCGGTCCACTCTCTCGTAGGTTTTTCTCCGTATATTCGAATTTCGAATGTCAAATGAAAAAGAACAAATACAAGGTAAGCCCAGGTCTGTTTGGAGCTGTGTTATTAGACCATTTGTAGTGGTTAGGTATTAGGAGTCCAAAATGTTAAAGATGGAACTTTTGGACTCCTAATTTCTTACATTGGTGACTAGTTGAAGGTATTAAAAATGGAAAGGTGAAGGGAAGGTCTCAAATATAGAAGATGGATTGACAGCCAAAAAAAGGAAAAAAGGAGAGAGAGGGGGTGCGTAGTGGCTGCTGGAGTGCTGGATCGTGCTGTTCTTTTAAATGAATTTGACTTCATCTTATACAAAAAAAACCTTTTTCATTTAAAGCCCGGTAACTTTTTTTGTTTATATTCCAAATTTTACAAAAAATATATCGAAATTTATAAAATGTTATGATCTTTCATTTGACATCAATATTGCATATATATATATATATATATATATATAAATTAAAAAAATCTAAAATTTTAATGTTGGAGTTCTTAGGCCAAAAAACACGAAACACAAATTTTTAATTCACGAGGCCTTTACCAATAACGGAATATTCCACTTTAGTTGAACTAAGTTCATTTTTTGTTAATAAATAATGTTAAAAAATTAATGAAATTTATTTATTTTTACATCGAAATGTGTCTTTTTTTATTTTATAAATATTCAGAGAAAAAATTAAAAGGAAAACATTACTTATAGTAATTTAATTAATGTTTTACTAAATTGACATGTAAAAAACTATTCAGAGTGTATTTTATTGACGGTGCTGGAATGCAAGAAATAGGAGTCAAAACATTGTTTTCATATAGACGGAGTCTATTTTTGACATTTAGCCTCTTGCACCACTCCAAATGGTCTTAGAACCGGACCAGACTGGATCACTGGACGGGTCGACCCGAACTACTAACCGAATCATGGAACAACATCAGAACAATCGGTCATCAAAATAAAATTTAGGAATTTTATCAATTCACGGCCCGAATAATAGATGGATTATCAATACGGTACTCGAAAGATGAAAGATATTGGTGTAGGATACAAATGATGGAAAACTATTAATTTGGGAACTAACATTTTATAGGTTTTGATTTATTTATTTATTTTTAAATTTCATTACTAATTTTTCAATAAACTTTTCTTCACAAACGTTTATTAGTTTTGTTGAGGTTTATTCCTTCAACCCGATGGCCCAACACGTTCCTTTGGGCTTCGAATGGATATTTTAGTGATTAAGGTGTGTAACTTACACACCTTAAGTAAGTACTAAGTAAGGTGGGTTAAGATTTCTGTAGCAAGTGGGCCGATCTTATTAACTGAGATAATAAGGGTCCGTATAAAACACACTTCAACTACCTGCCCGGAGGCCGCTCGTCTAACTCAATGAGAAGAGCTAAGATAATTGCTAAATGCTAAGAAGAATAAGTTGTCAAACATTTACAATGAAATAAATGATACTATTTATACTTCTAAGAGGTAGGTAGATTTGTGGACGTGGAGGGCTGTGGATGGCTAGGTCCCCAACCACCAAATCTTCTGCATTAAATGCGCCTTCCTCCAGTATCTAGATTTCGTGCGTCTTTTGCAGGTCATTCAGCCATGGGCGTTAGACTGTCACTTGGCGTTTTGGTGGGCTAAGGTCACAGAGGCCGATCATCTTGCTGGAACAGACGAACGTCTCGAGGCACCTTGATCTAACATGGCTAACTCCCCCTTGTGGGCTGTGGGCTGTGTACTTTGGGGCCGAGCGTCTTGGACCTTCCCCCAGTTGGGTCTTGATGACCTTCATAAAGGGGGTAATGGGTTGACCCTTGGTTGGGTCATTAACCCAACAAGTTTATTAAAACTAAATAATATTTAAAATTTTAAAATCTTAAAATAATGAAATTCATGACAACTTTGGTCCTAGATTGATAATTTTCAATCATTTAAGTCCCAAATTGATAGTTTTCAATCACCCGGATCCTACACCGATACATTTCATGTTTTAGGTCCCGGATTGATAATCCATCTATCTTTCAGGTCCTGAACTGATAAATTTAATGAGTAATAATAGTATAATACATTAATACTCCATAGTCCCTAGTAAGCATGTGTTAGACCCCTAAGTTCTGAGGGTCTTTGGCGGGTCAAGTTAGCCTTGGCTTGACCGCGGCATTGGGTGTGACATCAAGGTTGTCCCTTAATTCGAGAGCATCGGGTGTTGATTGACCGCGGCATGCAAGGCAGGGCCTTGGGCAAGCGTGGGGCAAGGCAACGGAGATGGCTTTGAGGAGCTAAGGCAAGTGACAGTTAGCTCGTGGGTGGCTTGGTTTAGGTCGTGGCATGGAAGCTAGCATGAGTGGTCGCGACGTTTCGGGTTTACGCCGCGGCATGACTCAAGGCTGAAGGCGGTTGACGGTTATGGGGCGAACAGACGCGACGGTTCGGGTTTACGCCGCGGCATGAAGCAAACTGATGCACCAAGGAGCGAACCGGTGGCATTGGCTGTGCGGCTTCAACTGTTGCCCAACGAAGAGACGCGTCCTTTAGCTATGGCAGTTGGCTTGTAAGTCCAAAATTTCCCTGTGTAACAGCATGTATGATGAAGAAAGAATGACATAAATTTTAAAGAATTTTTCAAAAAAATTATTGAAATAAAATTTACTCCCTCCGTCCCGTTAGAAGGTTCCCACTTTCCTTTTTGGACGTCCCATTAGAAGGTTACTATTTCCATTTTAGGAAACAATTACAATCTTAAGTGACAAATTAGTCGTTAAATATTAAAAATAATACATTTATAACATCACAGTTATCAATACTAACACATTATAATATATACCTATTAAAATTATTTCTCAAAATATACCCGAAGTACTTTATTTAATTAACACCTAAACAATCGTGCCATTTTGCTATGGGAACCTTCTAGCGGGACGGAGGTAGTACTATTTACCAAAAGTTAAGTCTTATAGTCAATTAAGTATAAGAACATAAGTTATTTGACTAAAATACTATTATAATCACTATACTTAGGAGTTCATATTTTTATAAATAAACTTTATCTTAGTACTCCCTCCGTCCCGTTAGAAGGTTCCAACTTTTCTTTTTTAGACGTCCCGTTAGAAGGTTCTCATTTCCATTTTAGGAAACAATTAACAATCTTAAGTGACAAATTAGTCATTAAATATTAAAAATAATACATTTATAACATCACAGTTATCAATACCACCACATTATAATATATACTTATTAAAATTATTTCTCATAATATACTCGAAGTACTTTATTTAGTTATCACCTAAATAATCGTGTCGTTTTGCTATGGGGACCTTCCAACGGGACGGATGTAGTAATATATATGTAATTATTTCTAAATATTATTCGTGAAGTTTAGAAATATGACTTTTCAAAAACTTAACAAAAAAGTAACCACCCTCGAAATGAAATGATTGAAATATATCCTTAAACTATGCCCAACCTATCCTCCTGCACAGTGGCGGAGCCACCTATAGAGTTGTGGTGTCAATTGACACCATTGAAGTTTTTCATTTTCATATGTAGGTATACATAATTTTTAAAAAAAATTAAACTGATACCACTGAAAAAAATAATTTACATATAGATGTATGTAATCTTTCAAATATTTAAAATTGACATCGCCATTTAAACAATAGAAATTGCTCAATATAGGATCAAAACATCTCAAAGATAAAAAATAATATGTTTTATTACCCAAATAAGACTCAGGTATAGTAGTCTTTTTAAGAGAATAACTTGATTAAAACTTCTCAAATCATGAGTTATTGAGTCCTGTATTGGGAATAAAACATTGATAGTACTATTTATGAATTTTATCCATGTTTTTAGTCCTATGTAGGAAATTATCTCAAAAATAGTGGATGTCAATGTATATATTTTAAAGGAATTTTATCAATTCAGGACCTGAAAGATAGATGAATTATCAATCCAAGACCTGAAAGATGAAATGTACCAATATAGGACCCGAGTGATGAAAAACTATCAATTTAGGACCTCAATGATTGAAAATTATCAATCTAGGACCTAAGTTGTCATGAATTTTATTACTTTTTTAATTTTAAAAAATTTAAATTAAATTTAATTTTATTAAACTAATAAATTTTTGTCAAGAAAAGTTTATAAAAAATTAGCATGGGAATTAATAGAAAATCAAATAAATCAAAACCTATGAAATGTTAGGTCCTAGATTGATAGTTTTCCATCATTCGGGTCCTATATTGATACATTTCATTTTTTGATTCTTGAATTGATAAAATTGGTATTTTAAAGTTGGAACACTGACTTTACAAAATTGAAAATTCAAGCAAAAAAGAAAAATTTGGACGGCAGAAGTCTTACTCCAATGATCTAACTTCAAATCGATGTATGGAACATCGGAATCACAGAAGAACTGATTGCACAAGCGAATGAAAGATGCTTTGGTAAATGATATTGATAAGTCTGTATTTAGACACACATTTGATGCGTGTTGGGATTGGATTTTGATGGTTTTCCTAGCTTTAAGGTGTTGCAAGTCTCAATTTTAGCTCAAGTTATGTTTATCGGGCGTTGGTTCGAGTTTTGGTATTTTAGAGTTGAAATCAGGTTTTCGGAGCCCGGCATCGGCGTTTGATAAGTGATTGGGATCAGTTAAAGAAGCATTCGCGAGTGAATTCAGAGTTTTAAAGGCCACCGGGAGGTTCACGATGATATTTTGATGAAGAAAAAGCTATTGGATCGATCGCGCGGCCAAACGGGGACTTAAAGTGGAAGAAACCGAAGAAAATGAAGAAGAAAGGCCACGCACGGCCGTGCGTACAGGGACGCATGGCGTGCGTGCGTGGCAGTAGCGGCCAACTATCAGCAATAAGCAACGCACGGCCGTGCGTCCAAGGCGTTAAATTGAAAGTGCTCTCTGGCACCAACGCACGGACGTGCGTAGGGGAACGCACGCCGTGCGTTGCCTATTTTCACGCGCAGGTCCGTCGGACGCACGGACGCAACGCACGCCGTGCGTAGGTGCCGTGCGTTCAGTGAGTC